ATTAAATTATGCAAAAGGAGTCAGACGCAAAACATTTCAGAAACCGTACGTATCAAATATGATATGTTTGGCATTACAGGGTTAAATGCCAAAAAAACTGGGACGGAATATTTCATATTACAAATCATTTGTAAAAGTTTATTAAAAATATATAGTTGTGCACATTAAGAGAAATAAATGACCCAACAAATAGACGATTTTAACCCTTTAAAGCCTGATCCAAGAATAAAACAAACAGAAAATTACTTTTTTTTGGTTTGAATTCCTTATTTGGCCTTTTAACAAATTATGTAAAAAGAAAAAACAGAAATACATTTTTGATATTAATAATTTATTACTATGCGATAAGTCCAGATTATTTTTTGTGTAGTCTTCTGCCCCCTGTTATCAGGTGTATCTGATTGTGTTCAATAGGATTTTGAGCAAAGTTTTTACCATTAAATTATGCAAAAGGTGTCAGACGCAAAACATTTCAGAAACCTTATGAATCAGATATGACACATTTGGCATTACAGGGTTAAATGTTGAGCGAGCAGAAACAAGATGGCGGCCGTTACCTCGACGATCATCTTGACGGTGGGCAGCGTGGTGGCGATGTTCTGCGGGTGTGGCGGCCGCACCGTGATGGGCACGCAGCCGGCGTACAGGCAGCCGTAAAACGCCACGATGAGGTCGAGACCTGGGGGGAAAAGAGGGAATTACAAAAATAAATTATCATTTGAAAAAAAATAAAATAAATAAAATATATATATATATATATATATATATATATATATATATAATATAATAAATATTAAATACATATTATTATTTATTTGTATTATTATCATATAAATGTATTATTATTATCATTATCATTATCATTATTATGATTATTATTATTATTATTAAAGGCCGTAAAGGCAGCCGTAAAACGCCACGATGAGGTCGAGACCTGGGGGGGAGAAGAGGGGATTACAAAAATAAATTATCACTATTAAATAAAAATAAAAAAGATAACATCAATATATATAAATATACATATAGATATATCATACGATAAATATTAAATAAATGTTATTATTATTATTATTATCATTAAAAAAAAAAATTATAATAATAATAATAATAATAATAATAATAATTATTATTATTAAGTAAGTAGTTTCTATGTAAAGCACCTTGTGCTACTTTCTATGTGAAAGGTGCTTTTTAAATAAATTCATTTAATTATATTAATACATTTTATTTAAAAATAAATAAATTATCATTCACATATATGTATATCATATGATAAATATTAAATAAATATTATTTATTATCATATTATTATTATTATTATTATTATTATTATTATTATTATTATTATTATTATTATTATTATAAGTAAGTAGTTTCTATGTAAAGCACCTTGTGCTACTTTCTATGTGAAATGTGCTTTTTAAATAAATTCATTTAATTCTATCAATACATTGTTTTCAGGTTTTTTGGCTGGAAAGAACTAACTTTACCACAAAAATAAAAACTATTTTACTGACTAAATAAAATATAGTGTTAAAAACAGCCCAATATACTGTAACCTACAGTATGTCTTTCTTTAATCTTATTTCCCTCTCTTGTTATGTGTTGTTCATTTTTTAAAGTTCCCATATTGTTCCTAGCTGGTGTAAATCTTTTTTGGAAAAAATATCAATAAATACAGGATTTAGCTGCCATTTATTTGGCAGCTAATGGGGATCCTAATAAAAATAAATAAATGAATAAATAAATTAAAAAAAATTAAAAAATTGAAATTAAAATAGAAAAAAATAATGGGGATCCTAATAAAAATATATAAATAAATAAATTAAAAAACAAATAAATAAATAAAAAAACAAAAAATGGGGATCCTAATAAACATATATATAAATAAAAAAATATATAAATAAATAAAAAAAATTAAAAAAAATGGGGATCCTAATAAAAAAAATAAAAAAAAATAAAATAAAATAAAATAAAATAAAATAAATAAATAATGGGGATCCTAATAAAACTAAACTAAACTAGGGTCACCTGGGGGGTAGACCAGGGCCACGTGGTCCCCGTCCTGCAGCTGGCCGCGTTCGGACAGCATGGCGGCGATCTTCTCGGCCCTTTTGTGCAGCTGGACGCAGGTCAGGGAGCTGGACGTCGCCCCCTAGGGGCCACACACACACTCACGGTCAGGTGACCCGCCCCGGCCAATCAGAACGCGGCTTTAAAACCCAACACACAACAGCGGTTTGGGCCTAACGAGAGGAATCACCTGGGTCTTCTCTTTGCCTCGGTCAGGACTCGAAAATATGGGAAAAGCAAGTGTGTTTATGGGACGTAAACCCAATTAAATTCAGCTTTTAGGACGGTTTCAGAGCAAAACTGAATAGAAAATTTACTCTTTAAAGAGAAACACAAATGTTTGAAAAATTTCTCACAATTTTGCTGTTTTTTGGGAGGTTTTACTGAATTAAACTGAGTCAGAAATCACAGCACAACCAATCCTGACCTGATTAATGACATTAGAAATATTTTTTACTATGATTAAAAAGTCGAGATCCACCCTAGATTTATGCTAATGTAGCTTTCATTCTATATCTTCTTTTTTTAACTCCTTTTTCAGTCCTCTTTTTCATTGTTAGCCCACTTAAGTCTGACAAAACATCCATATCCATCTATCTATCTATCTATCTATCTATCTATCTATCTATCTATCTATC